ACCACTACACCAATATTTAAATGATTTGAATATTGGCATCTGTCTTCGAGGGCTGCAATCAAATACATTGTAATTACACAACATGAGCGAATTACAATTTTGATGATATTCTTGATACAAAGCAAACTATCAGCATAGGCAGATCTTTATTGAGATAAGAGTGCAGTTATATTCTTTTCACCGAGTTGTTTGAGCTGAACTATTCTTAGACAAAATGTGTTTTCTGCATGAACTTAGAATTAATCTTTCTGTATTCAAGTCGAGAATATTACACATACTCGCATTGTTTTAAGGTATCAGCCTTGTAGTAAGTTTTCAGGTGTTTGACATATATTTAGTCAACCCCAATTTTTCTCAACGCCTATCTCGCAGACTATTTGGCTTTTGAAATTTAATCTGTGCTAACTGCAGGCGCAAAAATGATTTCATACATCAGGAAACCTTGGATAGAGAATCTCCCTCCTTTCGCGTATTGAATGGATTGTGCAAAGCCATTGCTCCTGGCTTGCACGCAAAATCAAAGATTTCTGATACCCAGTTCATTTCATTTATCACTGACCTACTCTGGAAGAATTTGGTTGCTAAAATAATCGCAGCGTGATGATTATATTCATTTCATATTCTTTTTAATTTGCGATCGTTCATACTCGGTCACGTAACGATGAAAGTTGTAACAATGTGAAGTCAGAATACTTTTCACATATTAGTTTTAGGGTTTTAGGGTTTAGGGTTTAGCTAAAACCCATTCGCAGAGATTAAAACGCAATCCTTTGCGCTCGAGATGATAAATGCTGTCTCGAAATTTTACCCGTGATCGTAGTAGAGTCGATAGATGGTTTATAGTTAGCTCATATTCGCTCCAAGGCTATTATTGTATAGGATACTTCATCGGCAACAAAACGACAATTCAAAACCGTCTGGTAGCATGTCGGACTGGTTCGCTACATGGAGACTAAATATACCTATAAGAGATCATACTTGTTAGTGAATGATGAAGCTCTTATCGATCATAAAGCTCATACAAAAAGCTGAGTATCATCTCAGGGCTAACATATTGAATAGGCGGATTGTGTCAGTATGACGGGGTATATTTGGTATACACGAACGGCCATCCGATAAAGTTCACATGCACAGAAGGCCACCATCAAGATTCACTGTGGCACCAGGCATAATGGCGGTGTATGCCACAACACTTACATGATGACGTCGACACAATAACCCTGTTTGCATCACCCGTCGAGATATTAAATAGGCACTTTTTTCAATACTCCATGTGGAAAAGAGATTAAAAAAGCAATAAACTTATCTTGCCGTCTCCATTTGACGAGAATTGCATATACATTTGCTTAACAGAATTAAGGACGAACTTATCCGGCGACACTAACTGTGTTTCATTTTATAGTGTAGTTCAACTACAGCTGATGTCAATCAATGGTTACGTGAAATATTTTCATTCCGGCCGAGAAAACTCTCAAGTAAGCGGTATCAATCCCGCTGAGACATTTTGACCCTCCACGAACACCTTGGATCCTTTCACCAGCATGTAGAACAACACCCGTACCCGCACCCGTCTCTGACACATCAACAGATGTTTCCCATACCCCGGCTAATCACACTGTTGAGGTACTACTTCCAAATTATGGTCCAAACCAAGTCATCGCGCTTGTTGGTTTCGCCTATGATACTTCCGATCCAGGCCAACCAGCATATACCGAGTGCATTCGTGGTCTGGTGCGGCATTGGTTCACCCCCAATTTCGCTCCTCGACCGAATTGTGATGGATAACCTGGTCCTACTCGGCATTTCGTACTCTAAACCAACCTACTCCACGGCACTACACGGTGTAGACCCGATCCGTACCACAGAGGTGGGCACGCTACCTAGTAGTTCAGCAAGCGAATACGTGGCACACTCGATGGTGTCAGTTGTTTGTCAGCATTGGTCTGAATTGACCCAGCGCATATACTCCATCGTCGACTCACTTGACCCAAGCTTCAAACGGGAATCTACTGACCACTTTCCCCCATCGATCTTCCCGAGCCCTACAACGGCTATGATAGCCATACCATATGTACATACATTGTAACTTATCTCCTTTGAAAAAAATAATGTTCTCCCTATTAGAACCTCAGTGTGTGCGAGTTGAAAACCCTGATCAATAACTACTGGTTTTCCATGTACAATATGTTCTGTAGATCACGTGGCAAATTTTAGAAACAATATATATATTGTACACGAACGATCAAGAACCACATTCACGGTGTGCGTTAGCTAGAATTGCGAGCACAGGGATGGTGTACCTCGTTCTTTAGATATACATGAAAGCAGGCAGAAACGCCGTTTCGCAGATCGAATTTGTCAAAAAAAAAAAACTACACCCGCCAGTTATCGGAATAGAAACAGTTCTAATCAGTGGTATAGGCGCATTTTGACCGATGTGGAAGTCGCATATTTCTAACGAGCTTTACAAACACTCAAGCTTATGCAATTTTCTGATAACTGCAATACAGGATAAATAGTTCTAAACATACAGCGTACCTTATGGGGCATGCATATATAAAAATTCGCTGTGTCATATAATGAAATGACAAAAAAAACTGGCTGTTTATATATATATATATAGAAAGTGTATGCCGATCGTCCAATTTAAAGAGTTTGTTAACATCAGTCACGCAAAACAAGTGCCAGGTCCCGTTTCACAGTAAAGGAATGCTTCGAGCCTGTAAAATGACGTATATCTAAGATATTCTGAAGTGCGACGACCCAATAAGATAACAAGATAACTTTTAAGGTAAATGTATGTTATATTCAAGCTGTTAGAAAGTACGAAATCTTCGAGAGGATATTTTGTACATTACATATTATGGCAAATGACAGCTCACCAGAAATCACTTCGGATCAGTGCATACCAGACCTTCTTACACAGCAACTTTAGCTTATCATGCTTTACAATAGTAAACCCATTTATTTTTGATACTGGACGCGAGTATACATAGAGAACAGGGAAGATTATTGTCATTATACATTCTTTCTATTTACGACCATTGATGTACACGAGATACACTTGAGCATTAGCAATCCTCAATAATCAAAGCTCAAGAAATAGTTTAAACTACTCAAGTGGATAGGATCAGGGGATACCAGACCTTTCCACACATTAACTCTAGCTTATCATACTTAAAAACCTATGTATTTTTTTATACTGGACACGAGGATACATAGAGAACAGGAAAAAATAGTGTCATCATACATCCCTACTATCTACCACCGTTGGCGTTTACGAGATACACTTGAGCATTGTCAATCCTCAATATTTAAAGCTCAGAAATTAGTTTGTATCACGCAAGTGGTTACGTATACCCTGTTGTGTCGTATAAAACTATGAGCTGCACGAGCGATGAGCTGAATGCAAATTCCGCTTTAGTTGGACTGTTGGTCGACTTCATTTGATGAAATGTGTGCACGTTGATGTAAGTTCTCATCAGAACTGAAGTGAAAACTGAGGCGAGAGACACGGTCACAATATGTCTCAAAAAATGGCCTCGAAGATCATGGCGCGACCAAAATTGAAGTGGCCGACGGCACCACATACAACTACTATGCAATCGAAAGGTATATAACCATGTCGTGAATCTATTTTGATATTCCACTATCTATCTCATAATCACTTAAGTATCTTTTCAATGATTGTCTACAATTTTGAACCTTCAAAATTATGAAACTTCATACTACGGAGCGTTCGGCCAGAAGATATTGTTATGAACAATAATCATATAGCTGAATAGGCGATCAAACGTTATATTACAAAACAGGCGATATGATGGGAATATATACATAGAAGTATATTCATTGTTATATATAGTTGAGCTATTTTCTTTTTAATGCGTATGAGATATTTTCAGATGACATTGCGGCGGTGCATTCAGCTGGGTACACCACCAGTTTTTCCACTTAACAGTGAGTTTAACGCAAAGTACCTGATATTTTTACTCCACACAAGTCAAACTGCGAACATGTTCATCGATTCGAGCTGCGATACTATATGTTGCACACAAGTATAATTGAGTGAAAGACACAACATCACACCTTGCCGAGTAGTTTTCATCAAATGTCAGATTCGTTTTTACCAGTGTAGTAGTTAGAATTGGCCTTGAGTTCGTTCATGACAGCTTTGGCAATATAACCACAAAGTTTGACGGTATTTTTGACGTTAGGAGTGCTGCCTATAGACAATACAGAGAAGCCTAGCGACAATTCATACTTTGTTCGTTCCGTCGCCAACGTAATCGGATTTGTCATCTGGAAGGATTGTATCTGCAATAAAGATCGACAGGTTGAATATGAATATTTTAGCGTGACCAATGTCACAGTTGTTATTTTCTGACAGCGACAAGAGGTAGTGACTGAAAACCAATACACTACTGTTTTGCCGAATTTACGAAGGTGTATATTTGCCCGAGACATACTGCACAACAGTGAACACGAAAAGTTTTATGCCAATTCAAAACTGTTTAAATCACTAAACTCTTTTTATTTTGCAAATAACCACTTCTCTCGCGTACATATTAACTATAGCTGTCCTGAAGCAGCCGGTACTTTTTTTCTCATAATTTGCGACTGAACGTCTATTTTCAAATGATCTAATTGAGCAAAGCAAGGCTTACTAAACGTCTTTACTACGTCTCACATCTCAGTCATAAATTCCAGGGTTCTTCATCCAAAAGAACAGCATGGTGCACGAGAAACAAAAGGTCTTTCAGAAAAGTTAGATGCGTGTTGATAATCCTTTAACGTAGAATGATAAAGGTAGAAAAGGATAGACTAAAACTACGGGGCCCAGCATTAACTCTTAGAATCTGGCCCTCACATTATGGATTTATTAACCACATTTATTCTAGCTTTCTACTACTGGTGTTCTCTACTGACTCGTACCCACTGAAGACTGCTAGCTTAAAAGTTGCGCAAGTTTATTACACGGAGACAGGAATAAACATATTTATTTCAAGATGACAGTTTATTAACTAATGGGAACGCTTGATTATTGACTAGTAGCGTGAGTCAGGTAGTTTTATATCCAATTGGGTTGGTAATCTCTGGCCGGTACGATCCGCTTCCATCCGATCTTCGGTTTTCGGGGCCGCTCGGATATTCGAGGTGGCCAGTTCACTCTGGTCGGGTGAGTGAGAATTTTTTCAATTCCTGAACGAGTATCTTTTTAGTAGAAGGCTATGGAACGAGATTCGAACTTGGAGTCCGGAGACAGCATGTGTATTCTAGCTTTCTACTACCCGTGGTCTCTATTGATATTCGGTATCGCTCTCCAAGGCTGCTTCAAACAAATCACATATCTACCATAGTCTTATGTTCTGATCGGCGTACAGGATTATAGAACCTAACGATAATTCTCAATGGACTCTCAAAATCAAATATATTGTCAAAACAGCTGAAAGTTTTTAATTTTCATTATGCTAACAGGATGATGTTCAATACGCATAGTTTAAAATATGCGCAAAATTTAATGCACGAGATAGGGTTGAGGGCGGTTGCCACACCTACCGACTAAACGAGTGAGGACTCGTACCACAAACGCAGCTTCAAGCACGCTTGGAAATCTGCTATCCGACATGGTATAGGTCACACGTTAACTAACAACGTGAAATGCCAGTCGACACTTCCAAGGTTCGCGACAGGTTCACCTAGAATCTGACAATCGAAGATTCCGCAGATTAACTGAAACGATTGACCAGAATGCGTCAACTAGCAGGCTTCTCGGCATGTCTCACTGCCAGACCTCTATATAACGGGACTATCGTGCGGCTTCAATTGTATTACAGGAGAATCGATGTCGTTTGGTCTCTGAGCACAAACCTCCAAACCAGTTTAAAATAAATCAAAATATGTCTGGCTATCTGCCGCTCATATCAAATAGAGGTACAACGGATTCCGCGATACCAAGGTACTGAACAGTTGTGTACCTCAACCCTCGTATGGTAAGAATTGGGATTTGTGTGTTCGCTATCCTTGCTGACACCAACAGCGCATACCAGATAGAAAAGGGACAGACAAAGATTTGTGTTCGTAAAATATACCCTGACCCACAAAGACCTGGTGGCAGCGTCGTTCATACTACTATCGTACCTTTGCTCCACATTCGTTCAACTACACGGTGAAGCTCTCGCCACAAGCACACATGTGCTTCACATTCGGGTTGTTGAATACAAACCCTGAGCTCAATTTCTCATCCACGTAATCCATTTCCGACCCAATAATGGACATAAGCGCCTTACTGCAAGTAAAAAAGTGAAAAGAAGTATTCAATCAAGTAATATCGACAGAAAGAGATATTACTTGCATATATTGCTTACAAAGGTTTCATCACATTTTAAATGTTTATCAACGCATAGAAAGATACCATGTTGGGATACATAGCTGAATATCGAAGACAATACATATACCATCCATTAACGCGGGAAGATTGTACAGAGGCAGACATAGCAATCAATACCGAACTAAATCGTTCAAACTTGAGTAAACTCGAAGGTCGTATAGTATTTAAATCTCAAGCGAAATATGAGAGATGCTTATAATCGAGAACAGCAAGAAGCTTTCCACAAGTATCATCAGTACATGGCGAAGGCTCTAAAATTCCAAGAGAGATCGAACATACAAAATATAACGTACAAAGATGCATGTAACTTCGATATGTTGATTCATAAATGCTTTACAAGAATAAAAAGATAAAATACCTGTCGATATACACACGCGCGTCATCCACCACAACCTCTTCATCAAACTTTGCTTTCTCTTTCGCATAGCTCATCGTGTATGACATGCCATTACAACCTTTGCGCAGAGTTCCAATCTTGATTGCTGCAGCATCCTGGCCCTTGAGCATGTCCTTAATGTGGTTCACTGCGGTCGGTGTCTGATATATGATAGGATGTGTGAAACAGTGATAGCCACAATAAGACATCGCCCTGTCTAGAGTTGAAATCGAAAGCTCACGTTGATGTTCCCGCAAGGCCACTATGTCACCAAAGTTTAAGTTTTGAGACATTCAGAAATCAAGCTCGATCAAAAAAGAAGCTAGCTGACATCGTTTTAAAACAAACAACAAGCTTTGAACACCTTCAAATCGAAAATTCAACACTGCAATACACGTATGGATATATAAATGCGACCCGCGTAATTCAAAACTTCATTATAAACACAACGTATTCGACACTCGCGTATGAATTATGAACTTACAGGTAGGTACTGTCTAGGGCCAAGGCAAAGCCAAGATATCATATCTACCGAGATCATGATGGCAAAGCCCCGCACAGGCAAAAATCAGTTCAAGAGAAAGCGCAACAAAAAAAACCATGCAACACTTACGATAGACATAACGGATTTAGACGGTCTGAGTTTGCGGCCCACGACTGTCCTGACGGCACCTCCTAAAGCAGCCATGTTTGCCAATTGATCCTGAGTAGAAATTTGACGTGTCTGACGGAAGCAGAAAACGAAGTTTCAATTTCGAGGTTGTGATAGTTAAAATAATGAGAGCCAAAATTCAAGAAGCTGTGCAGATTTCACCTCCATTTATATAGTTGTAGCAATATTCAGTTCATATCAGCACGCTGTCGCGAGTGTGCCAGGATGCTTTAGTTGATAAATAATTGACTCTCACTGACGCTGTTCAAAGCGATTCAAAGCGATACACAGAATTGCAATTTCACTAAGCACTTTCATTGTTTCTTGAGCGAAAATAAGCAAGAGGCCTGCAGGCGTAAGCAGCACAATTTAAGAAAGTAACGCGCATTTAATACTACTCACATGCTACACAAACACACACAGGATATGAGATATAAATACAACACAGATAAATATGCATGGAAAAGATCACGCTGAACCCGAAACGAGAGTTCTGATCAAAACTATTCCAAAGAGAATTTCCACGCATTTCACTATACATATTTGGAAAAAATACGTGTACATACACATACATACATACATATTTACAATACACACACGCACATATATATACATATATAAATAAATATGGATTCCCTAATACTTGTAAGAGTGCGATATGCTTTTGTACAGTTGTGAAATATTTAAACTCAAATTGACATACATAGATGTATGTATCAAATTTATAAACATGGCAGATCGAGATAAATAAGATACAGACTCGAACAATACAGCAACACACACATATATATATACAAATAGAAAGGTATATATATAAATAAATATACAATACATACTATACACATACTCTCTCATACACGTATACACCCACACCTACCCATATATATATATATATATTAAATATATAATCGTAGTCTGAAGATAGTAAACCATCGTACCTTCCACTATGTAGACGAAATATTTACATATAGGAAATAATGACAAGAAATGTATTTATATAAATACACACCCATGTTCACACACACACACACACACAAACACACACAAACATAAATATATTTATTATATTTAAATACACTGAAGAAATATATTCACATATATATATATTTATGCTAATATATATACACACACACACACACATACACACGTGTACACACACACACACACATACACACGTGTACACACACACACACACACACACACACACACACATATATATATATAGTGTACCGTTTATCCCGACTCAACTAAAAGTCCAATGTTATTCACGCAGTAGACCATATCTTTGGGTATTTGATAACGAGCCCAAGTGGGTTAAGAGCGCTATGTAAATCTTGAAGGCTCGCTTAATACAATATTTCTGTTTAAACATGGTACATATATATACACATCCCCAAATTGCCATACAATGGAACGACACCTAACATAAAACACGCCACTATAATACTCACTTGGTAATGCGATCGATGCGCTAAAATTCTGTTCTTCTCCTTCGGCTAGAAGAACGATAGTTGGTGTATACTGTAAAGCTGAACTTAACTCTCCAAGTTTCGAACAAGTAAAAGACAGGGTAAGAATTGACCTCGAAGTACGATCTTGGCTCTGCAAGAGTCGTTACTACCGTGGATACCTTCTGTACGGTTGCTTGTGTTATATGTATCTGATCTGTTAATCTTTGGATGTTGAATAGTGCCTATTTGGTATTTTAATATTACTCTCGCGTACATTGCAGTGGTGCGTATTCGTTCTTTGGAATATATATATATATATATATATATATATATATATATATATGTTTATATATATATATAAATGTTTTTCAAAAAAAAAGGAATACGTTTATCATGTCATGATATTGTGTGAGAGCACTTATGACTCCTCAGCTTGAAGTCCGAGTCTCCGACTTGGTTCATTTTGGGCATTGGTCTTTTTCAATTTCCAGAAAATCGGGAAAAAATATTTTGATGATAAAATAATAGATTATCCTTTACCTATTATCACATTTGATATAATAAGTATATTGAATTGAAGAAAACCAATCAGGCCATGAGAAAAACCACCACAATAGTTTAGTACATAAATAAGATGAATAATCCAGCGTCGCAAAATATTTTCATGGCCTTCTGTTTCTTGCATGATGAATCTCTCAGGGTAATATTTTCCAGAAAAAAAGGTTGATATGCGACAGAGGCCTAGTACTAGTACCTACCGTAAAGGCGTAAACTGTATAAGTCGCATATTATTTACCCCGTATTTTAAATATGTTCACATGTGTAGTTAGGCTCGCATGACCCAAAGTTTTCCCGTTGAGTTAGTATACCACCACACAGACATCTCATCGTGTCTTTTCCCACAGAGTTGCAATATTCAACATGGTAAGTTGCAATACCATCATCGTATGGAAACTTCGTGGGAAACGGATTAGCGATAATGCACGCAAGCACATACGGATACACACAGCTGTGAACGAAGCTAAATTTAATACAGAACTTAAAATTTGGGACGTCAATTGGCGGGCCGACATATATGTATAGTTACTTGCAATCGCAAAAAAATGCACACGGGTTGCAAAAATTTATACGTTGTGTGATAAATCAATCCGGCTTAGTGGTGGATAATAGAAAATACGCAAAAGGCCAAGCACACAAAATATAGAATATATGGAGCATTCATACGCTGTGCATGTGCACGTGGAAGTTCATGTACGTACAGTATAGCACACATTCAGTCACTCGGGCAAGACAATTAGCCGGGCTTGCAGAAATACTACCAAGCAACGGTTATTAGCACCGAGAAGATTAACTCTCTTGTCGATTCTTCTTGACCGCTTATGCGTTTTCGTTCGGGATCGTGTGGCATCTGTATCGGAAGAGTACATTACACACAAACAATGTATCTGCAATATGAAGGTACTCTTACATAGCTACATTGATATGCGGAATTGAGAAAATGTTTAAATTCTTCCAATATCGAAGTACCACAATCGCCATATCCACCCATTATATATACCTGAAATATATCAGGATATTAGGATAACTGGTCGATATATGATATGCGTGTGGTGTAAAGTTGTCATCCGCAGGTTGTGTGCACGGCGAGTAGTAAGATGTCAATGGATGAAGAAGTTGAGATTGCCACCTTGCTTTAAGGAACGAGGTATTAACAGGGGGTAGAGATACTAATTCAATAATTTGTCTCGACTTGTTTCGTAAATAGGCTGACAACACAGAACTAGAAGCTCAACAGCAGCTACGCAAGAAGCGTACCTTCCGCAAGTTTATGTACCGCGGAGTTGATCTTGATCAGCTTATGGATATGTCTACTCAGGTATGTTAGCAGACTATTGTTGCATGTTTGTGCACACTTACTGTTGTGGACACACTGTGATGATATGAAATCATGTAATATTGCTCGTCGGTGCAGTAATTTGTAATGGAGACTCAAACGAATGATATTAACAGATCAATTGACTGAGAAATATATTTATAGTGCGTTTGCTAAATAGACATTATATGACCATACCGAAGCGTTTATATCACCGTGAATAATTACAGAAAAGCTGAGCCTAGAAATGGGCCTAATTTTCATTTCTATCAAGAATGTGGTGTTGCATCTGACATCAGTAGCTCAGATCAATTTGAGGTATCATGTATTTAAAATATGTCGCACTTAATCCACAGCAACGCACTACTTAATACATTAATGTTTGTTATCATACCGTACAAGTCGAAATTATATTGCTATCTGTATGTAATGCGAATGCTATTGAACAACAATTGCCATCGTGCAAGCCATGTATATTGCATCGTATATACATATTATATATATATATATATATATCACAGGAACTCGCTCCCTTGTTCCGCGCTCGTATCCGCCGTCGACTTAAGCGCGGAATCAACCGCAAGCACACTGCTCTTATCAAGCGTCTGCGCAAGGCCAAGAAGGAGGCCGTTCCCGGCGAGCGCCCCCACGGAATCAAGACTCAGCTCAGAAACATGGTCATTGTTCCCGAGATGATCGGTTCCGTCGTTGGTATCTACAACGGAAAGAGTTTCAACGGTGTTGAGATTAAGGTATGTTCAGAATAGGAGTAAAATTATATCTAAAACATGTAATAGGCTAGAAAAAAGGTTGTCTGTCGAAAGTGTGGTATGATGTGCTACGTACATAGCAAAAGTTGATGAAGTTCACTTTTTTGATTTATAGAATTCAACCTTGTTTTGACTACCTTTTTGTCTACTGTATGTGTTTACTGCATTTGATTGCGACGATGATGAGAAAAAATATATCATAACTTTCGTTCTTCCGAGGAAATTGTGCGGATCAATATTCTCTGAGTTTGCAACCTAGTGACAGTGTCTGTTTCTGTTGTCGATGGGTTATCTGCGTATGTCGCGGTGCAGTGCATATCCTAGTAAGGTTCTTATCGAATTGTCGATGCATTTTCATTGATCCCCCCAAATTTCTCAATTTGTACAAGTCCCAGCTTAATGTATTAATTTTTCTTTCTTTAACTGTATTTTTACTTCAGCCCGAGATGATCGGTACATATCTTGGTGAGTTCTCCATCTCATACAAGCCCGTCGCTCACGGTCGCCCTGGTATGGGATCAACACACTCTTCACGATTCATTCCTCTACACTAAGTGTTAGTTGAATATTGATCTACGTTCCTGCGTATGTAATAAAGGTAATCGAGAATATTGTATTAAATAAGCAAGTGGAAAATCGGAAGTGTCACCTTTCGACCTCGTATCTGACAGGCATACTCTTGTTGCTTGTGTACATATAATTAGCTACATGGATGTTACATGGTAAGAGTTAGGGGTTCAAATCAAAAGTACTGTAAAAAGGATGTTGGTTAATTATCTGCTGGTATAAGCAGTGAATGTGTTCGTCCAAGCATGAACGTGTAATGCTCGAGTCTACTTGTATTTCGAAATACATAATAGTTGTACATCTGTATGCATTTACATATATATGTATATGTATATGTATATGTAATATATATATATATATATATATATATATATATATATGTGTAGTAATAGTAGTAATAGTAGTAATAGTATATATATATATATATATATATATATATGTATATACGGATGTACTAGCGTATACATGAACCTATTCACGCAAATATTGATGGAAATATTTGTATTGAAATCTCTCTTATATATATATATATGCTTTCACTCGGAATACATTTTCATGTATACTCCCATGATGTCTCATAAAACTTGCTTTTATATACATATCTATTTACATATTTGATATGCATGTATATATATTGTATGTCCCTATACATATACATACGTATATATATGTATATATATATATTGATATATAGATGTATATATGTATAGATGTGTATTGATATATGTATTTGTATATAAAGATATGTATACAAATATACATATATATATATATATACATATATATACACACATATATATACATATATATATATACATATATATATATACATGAACATATATACTTATACGTATATGTATATGTTCGCATACGAACACACAAACACATGCAGACACACGCATAATATATATATATATTTATATATATATATAGATATATATATATACGTGTATATATAAATATATATATAAATGCATATATATATATATATATATATACGTATATACATATATACATATACATTATATATATATATATATGTATTTATAGATATGTATTTGTATTTGTATTTGTATTTGTATTTCTTATTTTTTTCCATCGGAAATGGATTGTACCAAGTCTTTGAAAGAGCAGATTCAAGTGTAAAGTATGATCGATGCCATGAATCGGAAATAGGCACTAGAACATCTTGGCGGATCGAATTATAGCAATGTACTTGCAGGTGACTGGGAAATGGAAAACTTCGCGTCAATGCACACTTTAGTTATACTTTATTGAGTATAACCAATCACGTCTTACGATGTAGTAACTAGCTCTGGTACATGATATACAAGAATAGTTGTGAATGCTAGAATAGGCACGCGGCTTATGATCCGTTCAATAGTATTTAGTAGACCATATTGGATATCTTGCTTTGGAACCCGGTGGTTTCCAGCGATTACACCTGCTGGCGTCTCTTTCCTCATTGTTACGCATCTATCTCTGGAAGCAACCTGTATGTATTAGTACTGTCGACAAATCAGTGTTTATATTTGTAACACTTTTTTGCTCGCGAGAATGTCAAGTATTTACACAGCAACAACTTGATATGAGACGATCATATTGTTAAGACATGACGTTATCTGTACCAAACCTGCAACGAGCAGAAGAACGTTTGCAAATTTTGTTTGTATTTTTTATTCGAGAAACTTACCAATCAAGGCTACTGTTTCCATTAAGGTGGAGTGAAAAGTTTCTAGAAGCACGTATATGGATTTCATGTTGGAATTGAAACTTGCACACTCTACAAATCTTGTCGGTCGTGGTCTTACTCGTGCTTATTTAAAACCAAAATGGTCTTTATATAGATTGCATGTTTGAATAGAAACTTGACCACTACCAACCTTGCTGGCCATGTAGACAACTCGTGCTGAGTATCAGAAAGAGCGGAGTATTGTGTATATATTTGTGGCAATGTACAAGTGTGCTGTGATCGCTCATTGTGATCTGGATAAGTGATAGGTAGACTAGGGCGCAGGAATTCCGATTAAGCCTTTAATCATTGACTGATGAATCTGGGTCGAGAATTTTGTTTATAGCGGTGTTGGATATATCTGGTTCCGTATCACTGCAAAGAAGCACCTATAGTGTCTACATATGGACACGGAAGCACCCAGAATCTACGTATAATGTATCGGTTCTGCTGAGATGAATATGAACTTGTCCTTGGGAGCATCTTATTATGATTCAACGATACATGTAGGTCAAAATACTTAAAAAAACGGAATTCAACACTACTTGCCAGGGTGCTTGTTTATGAGCTCGATCTGCCAGTGATGCAATGGTTATTTGTCGTCGAATAGTTTCGATATTTACGATTGATCCCAGCTGCTAATGCCGTGCGTCGAGATCAGTCAAAATCGTTGTCATTGCAAATATTCTTCAAATAAAGTTTGAACGCACTATCTGCGTGGAAAAGAATAGCGCACCTTCACGAATCCTCGTCCTCAACATCTGTAAGTCTGTTTAAAAGCATTGGAATTCCATTGGCACTTGCCTCTGTATTGATATTTATTAGTTTATTTAGTATTTTAAGAAAAACAGATATTGACTATTTGACTATGGCCATGCAGCAAACGTATCTTAAAAATAGATGTTAGTCGCATGTATTCTTACTTGTTACACAGATACCCACTCGGTCATTCCCGACAAGTGTTGAGGTTCTGCTGCTCCTTATGTTTCTAATGTGTCTCATACTATTTTGATATGCTACAAGTGCATTGATATCTACTTATAAATCAATCCACCAGACATTCCCACTCACTATATATCAGCCGCTGCTGGGGTATTGTCGTTGTTACTAACTTTCGACAGGTACACGTGCCACACAAGCCCAACGCAATTAGCGAATAGAACCTGCAGATTCGGTGACACAAATGAAAAGTTGATGTACTGCGCGGGTATCCACACCGCCCAATTGGCCTTGACTGTGGGCCACCACGCGTCTGCCAGTTTCTTTGGGACGTCAGCGATCTTGCCTTGAAGTATGAGCGTGAGCGACATGAAACTCGGGATAAAGACCGGGGCAAATACGAACTGATCGGCGGCTAGACGTTTTGCGACTGCCAGCTGGGTGGTTCCCGGTAGTACCCTTCCTAACACTCTGTACCTGTTGACGTGATGAGAATTGGTGAGCTGATGGGAACAGACGTGGAAGGCGAGCATGCAGAAAAAGCTGTTTTGCGTTTATGATGAAAATAAATTGTATCCAATGAAAAAAATAGTAGCAGCCAGCGACCAATGTAAACACTTCGTGCCTACAATCAAATCCATACCTGTAGACTGCCATCTGGGCCCTATATAACTGCGTATGCATAAATCACACACATACACACACACACACACATACACACACACAC